TGGTGGGTAGTAGCAGGTGAGTGGTGGTGGGTAGTAGCAGGTGAGTGGTGGTGGGTAGTAGCAGGTAAGTGGTGGTGGGTAGTAGTAGCTGAGTGGTGGTGGGTAGTAGCAGGTGAGTGGTGGTGAGTAGTAGCAGGTGAGTGGTGGTGGGTAGTAGCAGGTAAGTGGTGGTGGGTAGTAGCAGGTGAGTGGTGGGGGGTAGTAGGATGTAGTAGAACTAGTGAATGAATGGTAATAATGAATGGTAATGATGAGAATGAAGAATAGAGTAATACTAGACTGATGTTTCATTTTGGTTACAATATAGGTCTTGACACAAAAAGCGAAGATTGTCAAAGGTTTTTCAGGGATGGACTGACCCTGTCATTTCATAAAATACTCAATGATGAAGCAGTAAATGGATGGAAATATGAGATACATGTAAGTCAAAGCTGTAACCTAGAAGAAAAATAGAAATGTTACACCAATGATGGATATACAACAACAACAACCTTTTATTGTACCTAGAATTACATGCATATTTACAAACAAAATTACATAACTATAAGTACAGGCCCTAGCTAATAACTGTAAAGTTAAAAATGCGCTAGGGTCATATAGTACATATAGTTAATGTTTGATTATAAACTGTTTGAGATGTTAAAGCAATTTTCATTATTATGCAAAGTTATAGCTGCATGCGGAAATGTGTTTTTTTTTGTGGCCGTCAATGAAAAATAATTGGTTGATACCTTTAACATTTTTGACTGGCAGCAATGAAAAACCAATTTCCAATGGCCTAGTTGCGACTGATAATATATTGTTTTATTGAACATTAAAGTAAATTTTTTGTTTTTACTTTTTTTTCTAGAAATGTATCCTGAAGAACACAGAAAAACTAATTGAATTATGTGTAGTCAAACTACCTCAGGATTGGTTTCCTCTGCTAGATCTACTGTCACTGGTATTCAACCCTCTATCAAGGTATTTAGAATAGATAGCGTACGCTGCTAATGCATCGTCTTTCAACACTGTTGTTCCAAAGATTCAAGCACTGTGGACACCATATGTGAATTGAGTTTGTTTGATGTGTTGTTCTATCCTATTCTACCAGGGTTTTCTCCGAGTTTTTCTGTTTCCTTCCTCCATGAAAATCAGCATTTGAGTTGAACGTTGTGTGCATAGAACATTAAATGTAGTGATAGTTTGTGTGAGTGAGTAAAAAGGTTAGAACAAGCCTTCAAAAGTCTGTCCCCTGTAACCATACATTCTTCGTAAATTTTCAACACTTTTGAAAGTCAATAATGTTGGTTCTTTTCATCCAATTATGTTCAAATTTGTCAGACTTACTAAAGTTGAGATACTTTTTCGAATGACAAAAAAATTCTAATGAGATTAAAATTCAAAACTTGCCCCAGTCTTTTGCTCGTTTTCTAAAGTGCCAATAAGCCTGAAGCGAGATGACGTTTTACCCCCCGACTCTATACCATAATAGTTTTTAAAATTCTTTCATATTAAAATTTTTGATTCCTTAGAGAATACAGGAACAATAGTCATAATTAAAGAACAAAAGCAATGTGAAAAGGATTATGGTCTAGAGACGGGGGTAAAAGGGCATCTCGCTTCTGGCTTATTCTATCATGGAATGAAAGCCTCTAGTTTGTTGTCCCTTGGCTACTAAGTACAACCCCATAAAATTAGGAATATTAAATGATAAAGTTTGCTGTAGATAGCTTAACAAAAGTGTTTTTTGTTTTATAGATTTAATGATTATAATGGAGCCCGACCATCAGAGACTTTATCTCAGGGTACTTCATCATCATCAACAAATACCTCTGATAACAATACTGAAGTATACGCAAAGTCACCAGAAACAGGACCGCCAAAGGTAACATGAGCAATAGAGAAGTGAATTAAGTGTTTCTTTGTAGATTGGTATCATTATTATAGATAAACTACTCTGACAACCTTAAAATTAGAAATTTAATAACTGAACTTTTAAGCTTAATGTCCATCATCATGGTATGATGTTTGGAATGACATTCAGTGGTTATTTATACAAGTACAAAAAAATCTGCTCTGCTGCCCTTGCTCATTTTTCTAGTCCATTCACATTGCTCTACCTCTCTATCTCTTGCTTTTGATGTTGTTTTGTCATACTTGCTCATTTTTTCATTTCCTATCTATCTATTTAATCAACAGGGGTGGCTTGTCGACCTGGTCAACAGGTTTGGTTCCTTGGGTGGTTTTGGTATTCTACAAGACAGAGTGTGCAGCAAAGATAATCTCAATGTTCCTTTATTATCAGCATTATTAAAGTAAGTTCTTCTAGTTTTACTTAATTTCTAGGTTCATTGCTATTTCTTACCTTGTGTCCTTACCTTGGGTATTATTTCTTTCTTTACTAGAAATGTTTTCAGCCTTGCTGCAATGTCTTCCCATTTCAGACCCTGTGTTATTCCCTTGAGTGTCATTTCTTTGCTTACCAGTAATGCTTGAGATAATGTTTAACATATGGCAGAGACTCATGCAAAGAATCAGCTTTTTTAATATTATGGTTATTTATGATGTATTTTGACCAAAGTTATTGATGTTTAGGCCATTTGGATATTGTGCTGAAGTGTTGACAACACAAACTGTTGAAAAGTACTTTCTACCTATAATAGTAAGTAGTATTTTACCATCATTATCATATGGGGGAATGGCAGTTATAGTAATATTATAGTATAAGGATAACTGATTTTAGGCTTGATATGATGGTGATGGTAATGCATAATGATGGTTGATGATGGTGGTGATGATAATGATGATGGTGATAATGATGATGGTGATAATAATGATGATGATTGATGATGGTGGTAATAATGATGATGGTGATGATGATGGTGGTAATGATGGTGATGATGTTGGTGATGATAATGATGATGATGATTGATGATGGTGGTAATAATGATGATGGTGATGATGATGGTGATGATTGATGATGGTGATGATGTTGGTGATGATAATGATGTTGGTGATGATAATGATGATGGTGATGATGGTGGTAATGATTGATGATGGTGGTAATAATGATGATAGTGGTGATGATGGTGGTAATGATTGATGATGGTGATGTTGGTGATGATTGATGATGGTGGTAATAATGATGATGATGATGGTGATGAAGATGGTGATGATTGATGATGGTGGTAATGATAGTGATGATGTTGGTGATGATTGATGATGGCGGTTATAATGATGATGGTGATGGTTATTTTGATGATGATTGATGATGGTGGTGTTAATGATGGTGATGGTGTTGATGATGATTAATGCATATAATGATTGATGATGGTGATATATGGTGTGATATCTAATTTTACTGACTAAATAAAATGTAGATGTAGATGATGATTGATGAAGGTGGTGACAATGATAATAGTAATGATGATGATCAAGATGGTGATGATTGATGATGGTGGTGTTAATGATGATGATGTTGGTGATGGTGATAATTATAATGATGATTAGTGATGGTGATGATAATGGTAGTGGTGATGATGATTGATGATTGTGATAGTAATTTTTATAATGATACATGGCTATGATAGTTGATGATGATGATGATGGTTGTAATGATATATGACGACAGTGATGATAATCTAATTAATGTTCACGCTAAAAATACTGTAACCTTTTCTTCATCAGAAATTTGTTCCAGATTTCTTAGAAGGTTTATCAGATGAAGAACTCAAAAAGGAGGCCAAAAATGAGGCTAAAAATGATGCTCTCTCCTCTATCATCAAAGTAAATATTCCCAAACATTTCTCCAGACATTGGAGAAGTACTATCTTCTTAACAGTGCTTTCCCACTTCTCCTTTTTAGGCTCTTAAGAAACTTGGTACTAGAATAGAAGACAGAGAAGATATTCGTAAACAACTGGAAATCTTTAGACTTAAGATGATACTTAGGTCAGTAAACTTTATATTTCCCCATGCAAACAGCAGAATTCTAAAGACTGTTATCCAATACTTATCTTTCTTTCAATTTTTACAGACTGTTACAGATTTCCTCATTCAATGGGAAGATGAATGCACTTAATGAGGTAAAACATCTTATAAACTGTAATAGTTACTGTACAGACACACTAACCAGGGCCACTTGAACAAAATTTAAGATAAAAGAGGATTTAGCCAATCAGGAGAGAGAGAAATCAGTATCATATTGACCTCAGCTCTGTCAGCAACAAATTAACAACAGCAACCACAACAACAACAACAAAAATTTAATATCAACAATCAGCTAAAAGGGAAGCCAACTTTTGGTCTTCCCTTTAACACAACAACTCTCCTTGGTTTATGGTTGTGGGCTCAACACTCAGACATTCCCTCATGTAACAACCATCTACTATATTGCTTACTATCAATCACGACTTTTTGGAGTTGACTGGGGGGCAAACAAGCGGTTGACTGGGGGGCAACTAGCGGATGCTAAGTCAAAACATATCAAAGTAAGTCCTCAAACTATTGTATTTGACTATTTTCACGACATCAAACCAGAAAACAAGAGATCAAAATAACCACCAGGATTCTACAAGCCATCAAAAAAGAGCTATTACCGGAAGTGACGTCTATTGATAGCAACCTATACCACCATTGACTGTACTAGATTATTGATTAATATATGGTTTATTATCACTAATAGATTAATAAAGTCATATCGAGTGTATCGTACTACACCCATCCACATACTGCTGTCGATGATAAGGAGTGGTTAACAGCAGAAAGAATGGCTGTAAGTATTGAAAGTACTTGATATTTAAATATTATAATAACACTTTTTCTGCTAATAATATGTTTCACTTTGATCACTGTAAGAAAGGTTTACTCAAAGTCTTTGTATTTTTAGGAATGGATTGAATCAAATAATGTTCTGTCTATTGTTCTGAAAGATAATCTTCACCAACCTCAGGTAAATGCGAATAAATTGCCATTAATACTGTGGATGTAATGTCATCATCCATTTGATTCTCCTTGAGTCTCCTCGAGCAATAATTATGTACCATACACTACTGTCCAACATATATAATATTATTTCTGAGGTGGAGAAAAAGCCTGTGTTGCTTTTAAAGTCAATGTAAGTTAGTGACTGCCCCCCCCCCCCCCCCCCCACAGGGCCTGCCCATGTTAGGTTCCCATAAAACATTATATTAATGTACCAACCACTATAACAATAGGTTTTGTCACTTAACTTTGTTGGACTGTCCAATAGATTTTTGGTTGGCCATTTAATTGACATTAATTGTTCCTTTACTCCCACAAAGGACTAGCATCCGAAACGTCAGTTTTTTCATCTCTTAGGGTGTTAAATTTAACGTTTTATCATTACTTTTTCATTAGGAACACCAATGCAGCTCACTCACTGATTGAGCAATTTCATTCTTATGCACCAATTGTTATATTTTCTTTTCAGTATGTGGAAAAACTAGAAAAAATTATTCGATTTATAATAAAAGAGAAAGCTTTATCCCTCAAGGACCTTGACAGTATTTGGGCTGCTCAGGTATTGCATTATTATTAATATGTAATAATAGTATGATATAGCGAGAGAGCATAAATAAGAGAGGGAAACTTCTTATTGTAAATGTTATTGTTTACGACATGTAAATTCCCAGTTGGGGTATTTTTAGTAACTGGATGCAGTTTAAATTTCCCCTTCCCCTACTCCCATGTGTCATCAACTTGCACATGCGCTCCTTCCGTTTATTGTTTTGATAGTTATGATCACTAAAAACGGAATGGAAAGGGCACGTGCACGTGCAAGTTAATAATGCACGGGAGTAGAGTAAGGTGAAATTTAAGCTGCTTCTGGCTACTGAAAATAGTCAAACTGGAAATTTATGGCAAATTTTCCCTCTCTTATTTATGCTCTCTTGAATATAGTAAAAGATTAATATCCACAACGTTTAAAAGTCCTATTTTCTTGCCAAGCCTTCAGCCGTAATAATTATCAAAATAATCTGATTTTATTCTGTATTATTATAACATTAGCTTAGATAGTACATGCACTCAGACTGGTCAAGAACTGTATTGTATTAGTGAACAGAGCATGATTGCTAATGCCAACCACATGAGCACAGCCAACTTTGCAAAGGGGTTTAAGAAGACAATATTGAAAACTACTAACAGATTTTTTCCTTCTCTAAATTAGAATGAATAAAACTGCTAATTTCCTTACTCAGCTCAAAAAATAATAAAGCACTTAGGAAGCACCAAAAGCACTTGAGGAGTCTGAGAAGCATCCTTGCTGCATCCTGTTTTACTGAACAAAGCACAGAAAAAGCGATTTTATTCATTAATACGGGGCAAATTTTTGTTAAAATATTTTTTTCCCTTTTTTGATTCAGATTGGTAAACATGATGCCATTATCAAGAATATTCATGATCTACTAGCTAAACTTGCCTGGGATTTTTCCGCGGACCAGTTAGATCATCTTTTTTCCTGCTTTCAGGTACGTTCAATTCTTTAGCCTTTTTTCATTTTCATAAATGTCGCTGCATTCCTTGATTACCTGGGGGGGGGGGGAGAGGGTACTCCCATATATTTCGTATACAGGTACATGCCGCCAAACAGGGTATGGTTTTCAGTGATTCTACTATGGAACAGGGTATATAAAATTGTGCTCACTCTGGGACAGGATATATGAAATCATGCTCTCTCTTCTCTGGAACAGGGTTTCCATTTTAGCAATACCGGAACAGGGTATGATTTTGAGCGATTTTACTCTGTAACAGGGTCAGGGTTCAGTGGGCTCATCTGCACATCCCTACCCTAAACTGGCAAGAGTACCCCCTCCCCCTCCCCGGGTTTGATTACAGACTCATCTACTCAGAGCTAGTCTTAGTACTGCATCCAATTAATGCTCACAGATATCAACAGTAAAGTAAAGAATGCACAACTTTGCAATACCAACATTTTGAAATTTCACAGATCTTTGCTGGAACAGCGTAGGTTAACCCCAAGGGACAGAAATTTTGGAACTAGAGCATTTGGCAACGTTGCCATAGAAAGTAAAATCAGGAAGAGCTAAAGAACAATGCCTTGATTCCATGTTTTCAAAAAGTTTATTTGTTTTGTAGGAAAGCTGGGCTCACGCCAGCAAGAAACAGAGAGAAAAGTTACTTGAACTCATCAGAAGACTAGCAGAAGATGACAAAGAAGGTGTCATGGCTCACAAGGTTTGTTTTCATTTTTCCATGTGGGAGACTCTTGTGCAAGGTTCACTTCACACTTTATACTAACACTACATTACCTCGCAGTCCTCGTTGTCACGTTAGTTTTTAATGAGGGAGGAAAACCGTAGAACCTAAACCTGGGGAAAGACCCTCGTGGTAAGGGAGAAAAACAACAAATCAAACAAACTCAGCTCACATAAATGTGGTTTATCCAAGCATTAAACCAGCAACCTCAAACATGAATGACACAGAGTAAGCATGGTAGGCACCCATTCCACCCAAAACTAACTCTTTTTTTCTTTGTTATTGACAGGTTCTTGGTCTTCTATGGAGTCTTACTCATAGTGATGATGTGCCTACTGATATTATGGACCTGGCACTCAGCGCGCACATCAAGATACTGGACTACAGCTGTTCCCAGGTACAGGTACACATCAAACCTTCCTTTTCTTCAATTACTGGTCAAGTATTGTCCCATCCCATTTTTGCATTTTTTCATTTTATTAACCTCTTTGTGTCTTATTGATGTACTTTACAACACTTTTGGTTTCGTGTTTTATCAGGATCGTGACTCCCAAAAAACACAGTGGATAGATAGGTGTGTGGAAGAGCTGCGTAATGACACATGGGTTCTCCCGGCACTCAAACATATCAAGGAAATCTGCATGCTGTTTTATGAGGTGAGCTATACTTGTTCAATAACTGCAAAGGTAATTAGCTACATGACTTACGGGCATTTTCCTTATTATGTAACAACCCAGACAACATGGTATAATCCATGGGTTTTTGACTTTTGTTAATCAAATTTCCAACAGTATGAATTCGTTAAAAAAAAAGATTGATGGAAGCAAAAAAATCTAGATTTCTTTTTGTGGGACGTAGACCTTTTCTGAGATAGCGAACATGGTGCATTGTGGTCTAGCTTGGGTACAATCATCTTTTGTTTATCATGCCTTATGTGGTGTTGTTTGTACCACAGCTAGACAACAATACATCCTATTTATTGAACTCAGAAAAGGCCTATTGCTGAGTACTCACCTTCTACAAATAATATATCATGAGGTTAATTTCCTTGAAAACAAAACACAACTACATGGTACTTTTGAGATTTTCATGTGCTGTAGACATAATGTCTTGCAACGTTTTACAGTTCTAACATGTAGTTGAACAAGTTTCGGCTTTTCCCATAACAGCCATCATCAGAATGAAATATGAGCATTTCTCCACTGATCCCTCTATTTACATAATTCTGTAATCCCAATCACTCAAGATCGTGGGTATTTTTCTTATGACAAAAAAATACTGTGAACACCTCTGTATTTAATTCCGACCCTAGTTTTTAATTCCGGCCTGTCGTTATTTGACCTAAGGATTATGCCTTCTATTGAGGCCAACCTAAACACTTGGGGTGTTGTTCGAATGCCCAGATCATTAGGGGAGACAAAATTTGGATAAGCGCAAAAGACCTAATGACAAGGGCTCACCATTGTGGACCCCTTATGAGTAGGCGTTCTGGCTCAAGAARCCCAATGATTAGGGCAAAAAAATCAGTAAACGATACTGTACGTGACAAATGCTTCAATTAGCAGGAAGTTTGTTATCAGAGTTTACAGTCCGCGGTATCTATCTAAATTATCAAACTGGCCTAGGAAAAAATAATCTTAGTTTGTGGATTTCTGTTTGTTAATAGGAACTGTAAAACAACTTCAACTACATTTTCTTACCTTTTATAAGCTTTTACTGTTTGTGAATGAGATTGCTTCGGTTTGGCGCGAAAGTCGTAGTTGACACAAGCCAGTGTTCAAAAAACATCTCCTTAAGCATCTCCTTAGCTGCTTAGTCTTTGCTTTCGCGGATATTTCTCCTTAAACTGATGAACTCACAGTATATACAGTCATGTAGTTGGACAATAACTACGACTCACTCATGTACATAACTGATCGTTGTTGGCTTACCTGACACCATACCGAGCCATCCCGTGAACTGAACTGCCGTGTTTCTTTGAAATTCGCCTTCGTCGCCTTGCGCTGATAATCATTATATCCCTGTATTTAGCTTCTGACCGTACCGATCGCTAGCAGTTCTACTACACGTACAAAAGGACAAGTCAGATCAACCAACATATTGACTTCTCAAGAATCTGCTTTCGCTTTATCGTGTTTGAAGATTAGGACTCACGTCGTCAATTAACACTCAATTACGCCGACAACGGTGTTTCATATTACCAAAGGGCTTTTTTATTTCAAATCTATTGTTGCCGTATCGTTAGCAGACTATTTACATGATTCTCAAAAAATTAGAGAGATTTGAAATAA